TCACTGTGCTGAATCCGCTCAGAATTTCTAGTTGTTGTGCGCCCTAACTTTCATCACTAGCCTATCCAATATCGGTCGGTATGTGAGCATCACTTGTGCTAAGTATTTCATTGATGTTTTGTGTTGTAGTAACATCTACATTTTCAGTTTATTAATACATTTAATGGTTATGATATGGGTATTGTTTGTATCGTCGTTATGTGGATTTAGTGTCTGTGACTCCAAGTCAAGCTGCATGGGATTTGAGTAATAAGAGTCACCAATTTGAGATCTTTGTCTTTCATTTTGGAAAATTGCAATGAAAAATTGCATCTGGGTTCCTCTGCTGGTCGATAAATTTCCAGAATTGTTCATCTGCGCGGCTGGGTCCTTGCCTGCCGAAGATATTTTCATTCTAGCACTCTTCACTTTAACATAAAGCGCTATTACTTTTCCAGTATTTTTCTAGATTCTCTTTCAGTTCTCTGTGTACATTTCGGGTTCTATTTGAAAAGGTTGTCACCGAACTAACATAACTCCTCATTAAGATTCCCGATCTTTACCACCCTTTTCGTAGTACCTTTCGATCTAGGTTTCATTCTCTGATTCTAATCCTAAAACCTAACCTAATCTTGAAAAATTAATTTAATGTGATTAAGCACTCAGAATGGTTAACATTTGTACTTTAACTTCATATTCGATACTTCAATTAGAAAATTTAAAATACTTGTAATATGTATCGATCTATAGACACTCTGTCCAACGAGAGAACGCACCGTGGCTCGATGATAATCGGTTATCTATGCATCCTTAATCGACAGTGCCACAGAGATCGGTTTGACTATGACGGGATGTGGCATAGTTATACCATTGATTATAGAATTAATTATTTATTATTTTTATTATTAATTTTATTTTATATTCTATAATCAATGGTTATACGAAGAATTTACAGCACTAACTATTGCATCTGAATAGATCATACAATTTTGAGTTTAGTATGTTTGTTATCAGAATGTGAAACTGTATCGTTTTAATCTCTTCTCAGTGAACAGTTGTAATGTGTGTACAATTTATTAACAAAATATGCACCTATATAGTTATCTCCTATACTTTATACTTTGTTTTTCGAGAAAACATAACTTATAAGTCCTTAGCGCATCTGTATAAATAATGCTTTGTAGTTTCGATGTCTAATTTTCCCTACCAATTCGTGTTTTATCGCCAAACGAGGTATATATCATATTATAGTGTATACATTATAAGGTACATAAATATAAATTAAATACCATCGTAGTAGTTTTAAAAACATTTAAATAATTAACACTTATATTATTAATAGGTATGATATTGTTAGATTATAAGTATTTCTTGTCTTTTTTTATATAAATTAATCCAAACAAGCAAAAATGTTTAAATAGACTATCCAAAAAGAGAGAATAAAAGCTACAAAAGAAAACCTTAAAGTTTTATATACCTAAGTATAGTTATAGTATATACATGTTAACACACCAAAATGTATGAGTAGTATCACATTTAATTACATAATAAACCTTATAAAATTATGAACAAAATATAGTTTAATGATAGTTTTGATAAGTAAATTAATGAATAATTATAGATAAGTACATTTAAAAATATACAAAAGGTAAATAAATCAATATGAATTTTATATATCAAATTATTTTTATTAAAATTGGTCTAAATACCTTTGATATTAAACAAATGTTTTTGGTTATTACTTATTACATATTATTTGTACATAATAGATAATGTTAAGTTAGGTATTGACTTTAAATTTAGTAAATTTATATTTAATGTAAATTATTAACTAAAATATATTAATACTATCATTAGTTATATTTTGTTCATATGATAAATTGTTTATTAGTAGGTTTAAAATTGTATACACATGTTATATGTAATTTTATCTTCTTAATTTTATAGCAAATTAAATATGTCATCCATTTTATCTAATAAATATTTTTCTCATATTGTCAACAGCAAATTTATTACTATTTTAGAATAATAAAAGGTCTAAAACAATATAATTATTAATAAACAAAATTTATTTAAATAAATTAATTTATTATTTACTTATATATTTAAATTTTTTTATCAAATTTTAATATAAACATGAACATTTAGTATTAAGAGGACATCGTACCCGCATATGTTGTCTCCGTCTTACAAATGCGTAACATGGCAAATAGTACTCTCAGAAGATCACGTTTAGCTCCTTCAGCTTGAAAATTAGAACGAATTGACCTCTTTTGAAATTTAAAAGTGAGATTATTATCTAGGGCATCTCATAGGCTTTTTATTATATTTTAATTTTAAAGCGAGTTATGTGTGTTTTAAGACGTGCAAGCAATTTACAGTTTTAAAATACTCATAACTTGCTCTAGATAAATTGTCTAGATAAAATTTTTACCTGTAAGTTTAATAATAGGTGAGTTTACTTAAATGTTAAAGCTAACAATATAAAATGGACTTTGCTGAACAAAAATTTGCTATGTTATATGCATGTAATATGGAGACAACACATGCAGGTGCAGCGTCCTCTTAATAAGTAAAAAAACAGAACAAAACAATAAGCCAAACGAATGTAACATATTTATATGTTGTATTAGGTAGGTACTAAGGTACATATTGTAGCAATAATTTCTTTTGAAATATTTCTTAACAGTATTAGAAATAAAGTATCAAATATTTAAAGGATAATAAATACATCATTTTAATGAAATTGATTTTATTATCCACAAACAAGACTAAACAAACCATTTTAAAACTTGAGAGAAATGACAGTAGGCATTTATAAAAGGAATAGATTCTGCATTATTTTGGTTTTAGACTCCATATATTGTTTATATTTAATATTAAAGCATTTGCATAAAAGTAAAAATTATCAATTTAGATTATAGATGACACAATGCACCAACACTGATTCAAATGATCAAATAACCAATGTATAAAAATAAAAAAAAATTATAAGAGTAATTTAATGTCCTATTATAAAATTTGTTTTCTAGTTTATATTATTAATAATATATAAATATTAGTAAAATCCTTGAAAAATAATGGAATGTGTTAATGTTTTTTTATAGATAAACATTATAAATGCTGTCATTGTTCTCAAAGTTAAACTGTTAAAATAACAAAATAAACTTAATATAATTAAGGTACACAATGAATTTGAAATCTAACATTTAATCTGTGAGCTGATATAGATTTAAGGGTACTGGAGCATATCACATTTCAAAGATCAATATCTGAAATTTTATATTATGGAATAATTAATTTGATCGTATAATGTGTGAAAAGTAAATCTAGTGTATAAAATCCTTTATTGCATAAATCAAAATTACTAATTATTACTGAAATACAAGATTTTTATGAGTCTAGAAAATAAATTGGTAATAATGGGCATATAAAAGAACTTATAAAATTCAATTTTGATCTATAAAAATGGAATCATATAAATAGTTTACTTTTTTGACATGTTATTGTATTTAAATTTTTTGGTTACAAAATTAATGTAATTTAAATTATGAAAGCTTAAAATGTTAACTTTGTGAAAGATTCAAATTTTTTAATACAATTAAAACTTGAATATATTATATTAATATATAATTAAGAACGTCAAAGGAGAAAATTTTAACCAAATGTTTATCTTACTCCATTTCTCTAATCAGCATCACAGTTACAACCATCAAATACAGAAACTAAACACTTAAACATTGAGACAAAAACATGAATATACTCACACACACATATATATATATATATATAACAAACAATAAAATAATTATAACAGTAGCATATTTACAATTTTTTGCAGGAATCAGAATGTATAATAATATAACATATAATAAAGTCATATTCTTATTTGAAAGCCAATAAATATGAATTCAATAACGTGATGAATAAAATGTTAATAGATTTATCTAGGTCATCTATCATCATAAATTCACTACTGACTTAAAGGTTAACATACTATGAATTAACTTAAATACTAATATAAAATATAATTGTAATTGTAACAAGTATAATTAATTAATAAATATTAACGCCTAATAATTTGATGAGGGAGGGGAAGGTTCTCAGTTTTAATATTTATAATTATGTAATATTATGATCTTTAAGTAATCAAAATATACAATAATTGACTGATATTGAAAACACGTATCTATATAAATTTGAATACAAATTATTATTCACATATTTTTCTGATAATATTAAATGAGATTTTTTCAAGTAGGCGTTTAATATTATATTATGTTTTTCATTATTTAACAGTACTAAAAGTATTATTTTATTTTCTATTCAACAAAAAATTACAAGCAAATGAGATTTAAATGATTTTAATATTTAATATAGTAATAATATATATTTTTTTAAACATAAATATATTATATATTTAATTATAACATTTAATAACATATTGTACTACAGAATACTTAAAATTAATTTTTAAAATGTTATTTTCAACTAAGATGAAACTAATAAAAGTAAAATACTTATTATAAATATTTTTTTAATTAGTAAATGACTATATTACTTATTACTTATTAGTAATATAATTATGATTAAAAGTGTTTTAATAAATACAATATTTTTGTACCTTGAAGTATTTATTATTTAACCAAAAGTAAATATTTTAATATTAATAATTAAGCTTTTAACTTATGAGAAATAAGTAAGCCTTATGTTGTAGATAGCATTTAAATCGGTTAACATAATAATATAGAATTATATGAGGTAGATACAAACTGTGCATATTTTAATGTAAATCAGTCAACATGGAGTAAATGTAATTGATTTGAATTTTAATACCATTATTACTTATTAGTATTATAAAGTTAGGGTCAGATTGTTAATAATTTTTTTAAAATTTTTTGATATGAAATGATGTCTTTTTTGTTAATTATTAGATACTCGTATTTCAGTAATATTAGAAGAACACATTTATGAAATTTAATTTTATTATTTGTATTTTAAAACAAGTTGTAAATATTATTTTAATATTAAATTCAATATTTCAATATAACTTATAAATGTGATACAGTAGCTTCAGAATAAATGAAAGAGAAGATCTAATCAGTAAATGTATAGTTGCACATTTACCATGATGTTTACCATTATTTATTTTTCATTTTTTAGGGTTCTTTTTAATTTATTTACTTCAGACTTAAAACCTATTGATTCAAGATTGTAATAAATATAAATTATAATTAAATACTTCAAGACATTAGGCTTCTCAGTTTTTTCTTAGGAATTTTCCAAAAATAAAATCTTTTTATGTACATCTGAAAGTTTAAAATTTCTGATATATATATATGAATTATCGTTGAAAACTTCTCTGGTCAATAAATCCATGTATCTGAAATAAAAAAAAAATATAATAAACATTGTTATTTCATTTTTTAAGCTCAAACTAAATTACATAGGCAAGTAGTTCAAGCAAAACTTTTTTGCATGTTCTTCCCACATTATATTATGTTTGTAACACCAAACTTGCAATTCCCTTTTGAATGTTATTAGAGTATATTTCAAAACTTGGCAACCAAAAATCTTACTAGCTTTGTATCGTGGGGTAATCGAATGGACCAATCTGGGCATACAACAATACAGCAAATATCTAGAAAACAAAACATTACATACAATTCATACTATGTAATGCAGCGTTTCTCAAAGTGTATTCCACAGAACCTTAGGGTTCCATGGGACAATCTCAAAGGTTCCACCAGATGAATGTGGTTATTGAGAACATTTTTTTTATTATATTTGGAAAAATATTATTCAAAATTATTATTTTGTTATTTTGATTGAAATTGTTTTTTTAAACAATAATCAATACAAATATCATTAATACATTTTTTTTTTTTTTTATTTTATGGAGTACTTTTTTTTTGTTGTTGTTGTATATAGAATAATTGAAGTTGAGGTTCCGCAAAACACAAATTATCTCTTACGGGTACCGTGTTCGTAAAAGTGTAGGAATCGATGCTGTAATGTGTTAACTTACCTACGATAATAGTTGTAATAACTAGTTGAATATCTGCGAGGATTACAATCCACTAATTGGTCTGGAAGAGTCCAAAACCATGTATTAAAATATTTGAGTACAAACTTGGTGATTTTAAGTGCATCTTTTAAATCCTGAAACATAATACAATGTAATAGTATTGACTAAGACATTATTAATTAATAAATAATTTTGAAATATAAAGCTGTTTATTTTACAATTAAAAGAATTATTTTTATTAACTCTTGTGAAAGAAAACTGTTCAATTTTTTACTTATTTTTGAATAAAATATCAATTTTAATGGCCACAAGAGGCTATTTTACTTTAAATCAAGATTCACATGAAATTCAATTGCTTGAGAGTTAGATGCTGCAATTTTGTACTTTTTGAAGAAATTTATATCTACTTTGGTTATATTTGGTTAAGTTTTTGTTTTCCTTTCTGTAGCATATCTTATGAACTTAATAATACTATTACAACCATGAATAGCCAGTTTTTGGAAATTTTATACAAAACTAATGGTGTTGCTATTTGTTTTCTCTCTCTTAAGTTGTTGTAATTCTTATTACTAATACCAATAATATTCAGTTATTATGTATAAATATCTATAAAATATTTAAATAAATAAAATTAGAGCGTATACTGTAGAGTAAGTGATGTGGGAAATTTTTTCAAATGTATATAAGTACATGATACAATTATAGATAATATTAAACAATAAAAATATTGTTCTCTTTTCAATTTTTTGAAGTACATAGTTTTTTTTTGTATGTACCTATTTTTAATTCATAAGATTTTGGATAAAGGTCTTCAATATATAATTTTACTAGCTATAATTTAAATTATTTAATAACAAACTTACCAAAACACTATTCTTTTTACCAAACTTTTGTACACAAAAGTTTAACAAAATTTGATTTATGTTAGTTTTTTCAAATGGTGGAGTCCCATAAATTTTATCAATATTAGGTGCTGTAAATGGATCATAACGTAAAGTTTTGAGTAATACCTACCATATTAAATTACAAAATTAGTTAATAAGTTAAAGTGAATTTATTATGAGCAACATACATGATAAATTGATACAAACACGTCTTCTACCAGAATAATTCTCTCCGTCTTGGGCTTTTTAGATGTATTTTCTAATGTTCCTTTTATATTAATGATATCAAATACTACTTTTATTGTAGCGGCAAACTCAGTCCTTGTAGCAGACATAACATGACTTGCATGGTCAGCTAAACAAAAAATAAATTAGAAATAAACATGATTAAATAAATAGGTGATAAATATATGTATATAGTATTTATACAACAGCAAATAAAATAATAATTAAAACACCTAATATGTTTATCACACATTTTATGTATAATTAATTCTTAATTTTGGGTTAAATTATTACAAATGATAATTAATAATAAGTTTATAATATGATTTCAAAGTGGTATTAGTTAAATTTTTAATGTATTTTAAACAATGATTATTGATTTAATTTACTAAAATGGAAATAAATGAAACTATAAAAATATGAATTTCTACATTAACTAATCCATTATAATTAAATAATATTGATCTAAATAAAATTATCGCTATGGAATAAAAGCAATATTTTATTATTCATAAGTTCATAAAATTAATTAAATTTAATGCAGTTATAAATTTTATAAGTAAGTTATCACTTATCATCCACATTTTTAAATTAAAATGTTGATATTCTTTGTTACTTGTTGGCTATTATCTATTACAGTAAGTCCTCGTTTAACACCGAGGTTAGGTTACTGGAAAACACAATGTTAAGTGAAACACTTTTTAAATTACATACTTTTATATGAAATTTATGTAAATATAACAATAATTTGTTGAACACATGCATTACAAATGACGTTATACTGAAACCGTTGTAGTGTTAAACAAAACATAAGGACTTAAACTTTTACGATGCAATAGCAAAACAACGCTAAATGAGGCGACGTTAAACGAGGACTTACTGTACTTATATCATTAACATTGTGTCAAAATATTTTAAATTATAAATATATTAGAAAAATATAGACAAAATGTTTTGAAATGTTGACTGATTTACATTAAAATAATCACAATTTGTACATAACCTCATAACCTCATAATTTTTTTTATTTATTATTATGTTAACCAATTTAATATTTTATCTACAACATAAGGCTTAATTATTTCTCATAAGTTAAAAGCTTAATTATTAATATTAAAACATTTACTTTTGATAAAGTAATAGATACTTCAAAATACAAAAACATTGTATTTATTAAAATTAAAAAAAAGTATCAAATAAAAAATTGTAAAAATTAATATTATTCAAAAAGTATTAATTTCTGATTTTTGGTCATTATTTAAAAAAAATACCAATTAAATCAAAAAATATATGATTTATAAAATTACTAGTTGTACCCACACAGCGTAACCCATGAAAAGAATTGTAAATCAAATATCTTTTAAATTTTCATTTTTGTTGTTTAATATAGTAAATGTTAATAAATAATAAGTAAAACGGAAAAAAAAGGTAAAAATGGACACTTGATATACCAAAGTTTGAACTCCAGATTCTCCCTTCTTTTTTAAAACAAAGTGCCACTGTGTTAGAGGATTTTCAGTACTGGGTGGTAATTTAATAGCTATGTATATAGCAAATACTCTACATATTTGAGGCATAAATCTGATGGTATTAAAGGAATATTATTGATCAAGTTATATGAATAAATTATACACATCAACAAAATTCTTAAGTGTATATATTACTTACAAGTTATAAATTATTATGCCTTAATAGTAATACGTTTTTAGTGGCAAAGTTATTTATTGTTAAATCGTTATACTTACACAGTGGATGTTTACAACCAGCCCTAGTGCAGATACTATTTTTCCACCCATGATTATCACACTCAACTTCATCAAAAACTCCTTTTTTACATCTACAACCTGAAGCCTGAAATAAATGTAAAGTATTTAATGGTTGACTATAAAATATAAGAATTTTGTAAGACATGAACAAGAAATACTAGTGTAAATTAAATATATATTGATAGGTTGTGGATTAAAAAAAAAAATGTCATAAAAAACAAATAACATTCTAAATAAATTATAATATAGTTCTACAGTCACTCCTCATAAGTAAGACTGCAGTACTAGTTGGAAACTTTAATGTATGATATCAGTGAATCAGCAAATCACTCGTTTGGTTATTTGACTTATTATGTCACGTTGTAAAAATATCTGGTGTATTCACACAATTAAATTAATAAATAAAAAAAAAGGAAAAAACTTGTTGTATCATATTATGACCATAACTAATATTGTAAATTATAATGTATCTAAGTGTTATATATATATATACATATATATACATGTATAAAACGCCTAATTATCTCTCTAAAAATTGTAATTGCTCACGGCGTCTTAAATAATAAGTACCTATCGTACTATAAAATATCGTAAAGTATCGTACCTTGCAAGGAGAGAACTCGGCAACTATCCTCACTAGACTTCCGGATTTTTTATCCTCAAGTTTCTCCCTTTCCATTCTAATGCGTTTGTACAAAATATCGTTCGTTTTCCAAATGTTGTTCATTAGTAAAAGTTCCTTCGGCTCCACTTGTCTGTGGCGGTTACAAAACATCGGATAACCACAACTGAAGCTATTACCCATGATCGTCGGATTTACGAACAATAATAATACGTATTAATGTATTAAAATAAATTCTACTAGCCGACTACTACGCGCTGGTTATATTATTATCGTATGGTTTATAAGTACAAGCAAACAGATAAAATTAGTGATGACTAGAGTGACTAGACTAATAGGTAAAAACGCTGAAAACTAATTTACGCGCTAGTAAACGACGGTGTCCGTCGTCAAACGAAACGACCCGACAGTCCGTACAGTATTGCGTTTAGCGTTACCAACGGCGCTACGTTATTGTGCCGGCAAACTTTCTTTCTCTCTCTCACGCACACTACTTTTCTCTCTCGCCCGCTCGCGCACATCTTAAAATGAATGGCCGACACGCATGAGCAGTGCGCACAACTCATACTATTTTATAGGCGGACACCTGGACACGCATGTGCAGTGCGCAAAATTCATACTATTTTTGCAGACGGACGCCCGGACACGCACGCGCAGTGCGCAAAACTCATACTATTTTTGCAGACGGGCGCCCGGACACGCACGCGCAGTGCGCAAAACTCATACTATTTTTGCAGACGGACGCCCGGACACGCACGCGCAGTGCGCAAAACTCATACTATTTTATGGGCGGACACGCATGTGCAGTACGTACAACTCATACTATTTGGTAGGCGAACACGCACGGCTGATACTTTGCGGTACGGCGTTTACTTGAAACGGCCGAAACGCGATAAACTTGCCGCGCTTTGACTTCCCGTTGACCTAAACCGGGCTCGCAAACAGCGGTAAACACCGCGGCTGTCAGCGGAATTCTCTCGCGAGTCCAGTGGCGTAAACCGCGCGGTGCGAGTGTAGCACTTGCATGGGCACATCTAAAATGTGATGATGCAAAGGTTTATGTTTTTGCACCACCAGAAAACCGTTGAAATGAAATTCGTGGCTGCATACGGATTGCGTCCCAAAACACGAAAAAAATATAAATCGCGATATCCGAGTTGCGTCCGTGCAGGTTTGTCCACAACACATCCGAGTTGCGTCCGCAATTTTCTCGTTACATGTATACGAGTTGCGTCCCGGTTATAATAATTGATTAATTGGCTAATAATATACATATTTTATTTTCCGATTTTACAGACTGAGGACTGTCATTTGTATAAATGGTGTATAAATGGCAATATAATAGTTTATTTTTTTTTCACTGAACATTTTCACTATTTCAAGATTTTCCATTGCAAAATTAAATAAATATAAATAAAAATATGATGATTTGATATGGAATGTCGAAGTGTGACTGATGTTAACATGAACAAATAAATTGCATGGTGGTATTTACAGATAAGATAGCGGTAATCGAGATTTTATCTACTAGTTTATCACTAAACATTATTGTTAGTGGCTAAAAAACGCATGGACGCAATTCGTACATGTCGCGAGAAAACCGCGGACGCCACTCGGATGTGTCGTGACAAAACCACGGACGCAACTCGGACAAAATATAATTCGTGGACGCAATTCGAATGCACCGAAATTCGTATAGGACAGGTACCTATGATATTATTTTTAATTTTGAAAACTATCTTTTTTTGTATGGGTATGATATATACACAAACAGGTACAAAATTGTAATTTTCGTGCGCGTATTAGACCTTATATCGATTAAATTATTATCCCTATCTATATTCTAAAACTGTGTGACCGCCTTACACAATTAGATTATTATATACGGCAACCGCATAATTCTGACAATTCTGTGGTTACCAAATAAATAATTATAAATAATTCAAAATTTATCTATTGTTTAAAGAAATAGATGGGAAAATATGTATAGTTTATTATTAGGAAGGACTTTATTTAGGAAGTTGGATTGTTGGTGTGTCGGTAATTATATATTGAGAATATAATATGCTTCTGCACCACCAGAAATTGGGTTCAATTTACGTTACTGTTCACGACTCTCGACGGACCAGCGATTGATTTATGATAATTGGTAGGTGGGAGGGTTGTTCGGTCGGTTGCTTAGTGATAAAGGGTAGAAACTTATTGGTGGGCGGTTGACAACGGACAGGCATTGTGTAAGTATAAACCTACACACAAAGTTCATTTTTCTTTAAGAACACAAATAATATATATATGTATAAATTAATTGAATCATTTGAATGAAATATTTATATCATTAAGCATTTACAATACAACCTTAAAAAATTATATTTTTTGAATTCATAATTTTACAAGACACATTTTTATATGATTTGCTGATGATTAAAAATGTAGAAAATTATATTAAAGAATAAACGAACAACAAAGGCCATAGCCATTATATACAATTATATAATTATCTGTTTACAGTGATAGAGTGTAATATCAGAGATAATATTTTTATAATTACAATAATATGTTAATAAAAGATTATAAATTATAGATAATCTTGGACGATAAAATAACGCTCGAGTTTTTTATTTAATTCAACGTTGCCAAATGTAATCAATCGATAATATGAGAACAATTATCTGTTGATATTTATTAGATTTTTATGGGATAAGCCGTATATTAATAGTAACTTAGATGCCAGATACGAGAGAATGTTCTAATAGTTAATTTTACACCTCTCATCCAACAATATAAATAGTTATTAAAATTCTAATTGGAAATCAAGCTGCAAAAACAAAATTGAAAATAGCTATGATACAGAGTAAAAAAAAAAAGAAATTTTAAAAAAACAAAAGGATAAAATACTTAATGTTCATAGTAAATATATTATGTGGTATGTAGGAAATAAAAATTCTAATAAGTAATAATTTATTAAAATATTTAGAATATGTTGGCTTACGCAGTTACGCTATCCTGCTATAACTGATATATGTATAGGTAATTAAGATGTCATTAAAAAATATTATATATATTTCATTTTTATACATATATATATTTCATGTTATAAGTTCTGCATATTTTACATTTTTTTATTCATATTATATATTAAATATTATTTAGCGCTTATTTGTATATGATTATAATTATTAATTTATAGTTATAACTTTTTTTGAGAATATTTATTTTATGTATACTGAATTTTTCAAAAGCCAAACTAATGATATGTCAATGTTGCACATAAATTCGTTTTCAATCGTTTTGTTTTTTTGGGTCAGCGGTAAGTTCTTTGTTAAATTTGAAGTGTTCTCAATTGTTCGGCCAAAAAGGTATAACGTTCTTAATTGTTCGATAGCCATCTTGGATTTTATAAATTGTATATTCTTAAAACAATATAATACCTACTATGTTAATTTAGTATTTGTAAGAATTGTAAACGAATTATCATTATTTTAAAATTTTGTTGTAATTATAATAAAATATTTTGAATATTCATAACATTATTATAACTCATTAAAATTTAACAACTTATTTGAACATTTAGAATAATCAAATGGATAAAGCATGAGAAAATTATTATATTAGAATATTTGATGTTAATTATTGGGATTTACTACTCGAGTAAAAATACATTTGTATACCTATTACCTAATCAAACATTTGGGATTTTGCAAAGTTATGTTAAGGTTAAAAGTTATAATTATGTATTAATTAATATAATTTTAATAATAATATTATAATATTTATTAAACTTTTAAATTAACAAGAGTGTTTAATAAGTTTAGGAATCGTCATTAGACTAATTGGAACTGATAAACGATAATAATATGATATAATTAATGAGGTTGTTAAATATTTTACATTACAAATGTATTGCACTGTTATCTATTATTACACCATGTATAGATATTTAAATATGGCTGTAACACGATTGCGTCAGACTTACATTTTTCAATGTTTATATTTTTCAAACATTTGTGTTTTTTCCAAACAAATTTTTTATAATATTTTAATGTAGATATTGCTACACGCCATTATTTGTATATATATAATTTATTTTTTGTCTACTTTATTATACGCTGGAAAGTTTTGAAACTCATGATTATTTTAACGATATTTGGCATTTTTTTTATTTAAATAAGAATCGTAAAAATATAAACTAATAACAAAAATATTATGAACTAAAAATTAATACCTTTTATTCATCCTGAATAATGATATTCGCGCGCAATTCGGAAACACCGGCATATATATCATATATGTAATGTACAATATATATATATATTGGAGTGCAATTGCGTTGGCGTTATATACAGGTAAAAAGTTAAAACGGTCTCGATCGCGATAATTGGTTGGGCGCAATGACGTCGCATTTTTTTGAATGGAAAAAAGTAAGCCGGGCGCAATCGTGTCGCACTGTTAAATATATCCATACAGTTATAAAATTAAGGCCCGTTTCACACGGGCGCGTTTCGTACGCGACGTATCGCACGCGAGAATTTTTAGTTTACATCGTTACTCCGGCGGATGCCGCGTATGAACTTATTCAACGTAAACTAAAAACGTTCGCGTACGATACGCGCCCATGTAAAAGTGTCCGTGCAACATATATATAAGTACACGTACAACATATATATAAGTACACGTACAACATTTTATATATATTTTGCAGTGTCTTATACGTGGCTCCGTAAAAAACGACGAGTACCTACGTGTGATTTTTATTCCGATTAATTTGGAACTTATAGATGCGATAAAAGTAAAAAAAAATAATACGCAATTCCTAGCTGTCGTGATTTTCGTCGCAATCACTTCGAACACTGTAAGACCCGTTTATTATATTATGATATATATCAGTGGTTTTCAAATTTTTTTTATACACGGCACATCGTACACTTCAAAAAATTTTCACGGCACACTGACATTTTTTTAGATGAACAAAATTGTTTTGAATTAATTATAATTTTATATACATTTAATTAGAAATTTTTATTATTTATTTATTAATATTACAATTACAGTATAATTAGTTATTAAATTTATTAACAAAAAAAAGTGTAGTTTATACATAGGTACATTTAATGAGAAATGTGTGCCTGATGGGCGTTACAAATATTTTTAATTCTTGGACGAATAGTTGACAGACATACCCTCATTTCTTCTTCCACTGAATTTAGTTTTTCTCGTTTTTTATTTTTTATATTCGCAAGCGCTGAAAACCCTTGTTCACAAAGATATGAGGTCTAACAATATAACGGATAACCTATACTTTTTATAGTTCAATAGTTATCTGAGATTACTTATCTTAATCACTTTATTCCTACAAACTGTCGATTTATTAATATATAAATATATATCAAATCCATAGAGATTGAAAGCATTTATTTTCTTATATCGCAATTCAATGCAATCGGTAATTTATGGAAAAACCGCGGCACACCTAGTGCATACTCGCGGCACCCAGTTTGAAAACCACTGATATATATATATATATA